CCACTTCATAAAATTGGGAAACGATGGGCGGCTCTGATGGAAATTGCTGTTCTTGCTGGGCTTCTGAGGAAGAGGAATAAATTGAGCCAAGAAGTTACATTTCATAGCAAAAACCATGGGGGCAAACAGCGCTGGGGGAGAAACCTGGAAAAGTCCTTCTCAAAACATAAAGCATGGGATCCCTTTCCTGCAGGACCTCCCCAAAGCCAGGCTGTTGGTGCCCATTTTCTGCTGGAGTTTGTGACCACTCAGCAGGGCTCAAGCTGGTCCTGCTTTTCCCAGAGGTGAACTGGCACTGCTGAGACAGCCATGAGCCAGAGGGAGGAAAACTGAAGCAAGAAAAAGAAATTAAAAAGGAAAAGTTTGGGGTTTTTTGGTGGGTTTTTTTTTTTGCTTATTTTGAACATGGGAAAAAATGTAACAAATGGCAGGGAAGAAGCTGACAGGCTTCAAGGAAGGCTTTGAAATAACAGAACTGCAGAAGGCAAAGGAGAATAGCACTTAATTCATCCTCTAAGGGTAACTCTGTGTTTCTCTTCCTTCTACCCACTTTGGCAGCTTCCACTGCCTTCAGACCACAGCCCTTGCCCATGAGCTCATCCCTCTCTCCCCTCTTGCCGCACGACCGGGCACAGAAAGCATCCTATGAGCACGACCACAGCTCCACCTTGACCACGAAAACACCACGAGCAGCCAAAGGAAGCAGATGTCTAGCAGCTCCATGCAACCCAGAGACAACCCAAATCTAATCTACTCCTCTAGCCTACGTGCCACGCTGCTTCTGCTGTGCTGCTACCCACTGGTGTGCGGAGGCACCGAGGAGAAGGGAAAAACACGTCGGGCTGGCTTTAAATACCTGATTTTTTCTGTGTTTCTGTCACGGGCACAGAGGCAGCAAACTCAGAGGCTGGTCTGATGATGCTTGCTTATGGTGGGAAGCAGAAATCCAGAGGGCAGAAGACAGTGTGTCAATTAGAGGGTGAAACAGAGCAGGGATGGGGCAGGGCTCTGGCAGGACTGGTTTAAATGTATGGCTTTAAAGTGAGGAGGGATTTTAATGCTTCTAAAATTAAAAAGGGGGGGTTACAAAGGAGTATCTCACTTTGGGATTCTGACCCTGATTGGGGGTCACCTCCTGCAAATGGGTCCTACCAGGGGTTCCAAGGGTCACCTCTTTCACAGTGTCTCCCTTGGGGCCCAGATGAATTAGATCTGCAGGCCCTTGGGAATGCCATGGTTTTAAAGAAATGCTTTCTGTTTTGCATGGAGGAGGAGGAGGAACATCATCTCAGGCCAAAAGCAGATCAGAATAAATCTATGTCTTGATTCCCTATTGCTGGTCAAGGGCACACAGTGGACCTTTGGCATCAAACTCCTCGTTCTGCCCAGGTAAGAGCAGGTTCTTGAGCTGCTGGGGGCCCTGGCTTCCCTCTTCTATGGAGCAGCGCCTCCAGGGAGTGTCACCACTCCCAGGAACACCATCCTGGGGTGGGACATGGCTCAGATGGGGATCTGGATGGGGGTGAGGAGTGAGGAGCTCAGGCCTGGCTGTATCAAGCCAAAAACCTGGCAGCTGGGCTGCAATTTATTAATTTTGTCCCTTGCCATCAGCTGATGAAAGCATTAGGAAAACATTTTCTCTGCCCAGGAAGCAGGTTTTGGAGAGGAATAAACCCTGTGATGTCTCTCAAGTCCCTCAGAGCAGCCTGGCAAGAGAGGTTACCCCAACCCCCCAGAGGCACTGTCCTGCCTGTGCCAGAGGTGCCACAAAGGCAGAGCACTGCAAATCATACGAGAGACACACCAAGCAGCTACCCACATGAGCACAGCAAAAGAATAGCCCTAAAATGTCTCTACAGGTGAGCATGGATAAAAATCAGATGACCCCAAGTGCATTGTGTGGATGTAGATGTGATCACCTGGCCCTGCTGGGGCTGTGGGGATGGGGTGAGCTCCAGGCTGGGGGAGGATGAACCTCTTCCTGCACAGCTACAGCATGGGTCTGGGTAAGGAGCTCTTCCTAACAGAGCTGAGCCTTGCAATCTTTTTCCAGGGTCACTCCAACTCCATGGAAGTTGGACTTAAACCCTTGGCTCCCTGATTAACTCCTCAAGCAGGGTACTTCCATGAATATATCTATATTTGCATAAACATGCAATCAAGTTTCCTCATCCCTTTGACTGGCTTCTGGCAGCTCCCCCAGACAGACTGTTACTAACATGCTGTGGGTGTAAAACGTCCTCCTGGGAAATATCAGGCCCTGAAAGCATGGCAAAGGGAGGAATGCGTGTCTAATTCCCCCATGAGCAGCTTAAAAAAATGTCCTGCTGTTAAGTTTTATCTGCTCATTTCCAAAAGACAAGAAAAATGCTGTCTCTTTGTTCATGGAGGGAGGGAAGGAGGAACCCCCAGAAAAAGGACAAAAGTTTTCCTGCACTGAGAGATTTCAGAAATTAGGAAAGGATGTTTCTGGTGTGTGTGTGAGCTCCTGCCCTGCGTGCTCCCAGGCTGCCAGGACAGCGGCCACCTGGGGAATGCTGGAATTCTGCCCTAGGAAAACTGCAGCTGCAGTACATCCATGAGTTTGGACACAGGGATTTGGTGCAGGATTGGGACAACCAGAAAGGACAGAGCAAAATCTGTAGGCTGCTCTGAGTCTAGTGTCAAGTGGCAGGAGGTCAGAGATAGAGAAGGATGGGGTATAATTCCCCTCTCCTTCCAGAGAAATATGTGGCTTAAATTTATTATGGATCAGAAAAGTCTTCATTGCTGTCCTGCCCTGCCTTGTCACGGAATTGTGAGAACATCTCTGACAACAGCAAACCAGGGCTGCCTGGTGGCTGGGGGAAGTGAACCAAGTCCGGGTGATTTTTATCCATGTCCCTTTATCATCCTACAGAGCAGAGATCCATGGCTACAGACACACGTCCACGACACAGAAAGAGGAGCCTGGGAGCAGAGTCCTGGCTTCTGAGCAGAGCAGGGAGCATGGCACCCACCTGGCTGGGTGGTGGTGGCTGGTATGGGGGTGCTGCTGATGGTTGTGGAGGTTGTGGTGGTGGTTGAGGTGATGGTGGTGGTTTTTGCGGTGGTGGTTTTTGCGGTGTTTATGCGCTGTGGTCGCTCGTATGCTGACAAGCAAAGAGAAGAGTTGGGAGACACTTACTGGGGGGAATGGTGGGTTTCCATGCCACTGAGGCACCCATGAGGCTGCTGCTGCTGGGCTGAACTGGTGACCGATTTCTCAGCACAGTCACAAGTGGGGCACTGGCAGGATTAAGGCGTCAGCGGCTCGATGACGCTGTGCACAGCGGGGCCGTGTGTGTGTGTGCGAGCAGGGGCTGCAGGCTGGGGCTGTATCAGCTTACTCTGTTGGTGCAGATATTGGCTTAAATGCTTACAGCTCAATCATAAACTAATTGCCAATTAAGCTGAAAAGGGGAGATGAAGACACATCTGGGCAGGGACGGGGTGAGGAGCAGGCAGGAGGTGTCAAGGAGCCCCCAGGCCAAGCTGTGCTCCCACTGCCTGGTGCCCACGTGCCCAGCTGTGCTCCTTGCCCAGCTCCATTCCCTGCTGCCACCCCTCACCAAACCACCTGGCACCATCAAAGCCACCCAGGACCATTGGCACGTGGTTTTTTTCAGTGACACCCTTCAAATTTCAGGATGGCCGGGGGTCAGCGGAGCACCCCACTGCTCCCCACAACAGCCCCGACTAAAATAACACTGAGACACAAATTCCCAGTGCTTAATTTACTTACACCTGCTGCCCTCCTGTCCTTGTTTGTCCCACTGCTTCATGCAGATTATCGTGCTAAATTTCATAATAGCCCTGAGCTAGTTTAAATACTTAATTTAGGTCACTTCTAGTCTCCTATGTGGGCTAAATAATCTCTCCTTAACTGGCCTTGGACTTAAATCCCTCCTGTCCACCTCCTGCACATTGCTCCCAGCACCCTCCCGGCTTCTGCCCTGCAGAAAATCTTGGTGGGGAGTGTTTTCCAGGGAAACAAAAGTAGTGCTGAGGATGCCAAGCTTTGTAAATGTGAGGAAAAAAAGTTATCAAAATGGTTTTGTAAAGAAAGATGAAGAATATTTTGAACTGTTGAAACATTTATTTTTTTTAAATCCTAAATTACTTAAGGGAGACCTTTACTTTTTATTTGAAAATTTCAAACACTTAACTGCTAAAAACCTAAATACGATTCATTTACCCAGAAAACCTGTCCTCCACTTTTCTATTAGGTGCATTTTTCTTAATTGCATTTGCATTTCCCTGAAATGATTCCTCCTCCAATTCTTCCCACTTGCCTGCAAACCAAAGAATTGATTATTCATCCAGCTCCCTGATTTGTTTCTTCTGGAGGGGCACTCCACCACAACATTCAAACCCAGGCGTCTGCTTACCCAAAACTCCAGGCTCTTTGATATCAAACTACCTCCAGCTTTTTTAAATAAGGAGCCCTCTCCTGCCATCAGTCTTGCAGCAGAAATCCCCGCTGAGCTCCGCTTTTGCTGCTGACACCTCACAGACATTTGTTCATCTACATACACGTGTACACGCAGATGTACACACACTCTAAATGCTTTTTTTATTGATAGCCCAAGGTGACCCAGTCTGGGTTCTGCACCAAATAATTCACACCCAGCTCCTTCTCACAGCAGAATTCTGCAGTACTGGGGGGCTAAGGAGGGGAGTTCACAGCGAGCACTGGTGATTTTGAAGAGTCTTTTTTTATTTCCTTTCCGGCTGCCATACTAACGAACCTCATGGGGGGAAACCATGCCAGAGGAAGAGGCAAAATGAGGCTGCTGAAGTCAGGGGAAGAAAATATAAGGCTCTTTGACAGGACAGAAATTGAGGCACAATTATGGAAGACTTATTGCCTGGGAAATGATAATGGATAGAAAATAACTTTTTTTTTTTTCCTAGTGACATCCACAAGAATCATGCACCGAGGTGTTAAATGCCAGCATTTCAGTCAGGGTTTTACTTACTGCCAAAGGCTGAGCCTGCAGCTGCACCTGGAAAAAACAAGAGGAAGCCCAGTCACTGGAAGCAGGACACCATCATAAGATCACACAGACACACAACATGGGACTGAAGAGCAGCTAATTAGTGGGGGCTTGCTCACAGGCACATCAGTTTGCTGCTACAGCTTAAAAGCTAGCTTTTGTCACAGCACAGAAACAGCCAGACAACGCTGCCTGGGCTCCTGGCATCTCAAGCCTTTCACCTGGGGAAGGAAAACCAGCGTGGTCCTTGCTGATGAGTTTTTCTGTTAACCATTTCCTTGGGCTGCTGCAAAAGCCCAGCAAGGGACAAACACAAAGGAGCACTGGGTTAAGGACAAGCTGCAGGGCCTGAACAGGGGACTGAAGAATCACAGAATCACAGAATGAACTAGGCTGGAAAAGACCTTTAAGATCATCTACTCCAACCTATGACCTTAATACCTCCTCACCAACTAAACCATGGCACTTAGTGCCATGTCCAGTCTTTTTTTAAACATGTTTACGGGCCTTCCTGCTGTAACACGTGGGTGAATCATGGAAAGCCTCAGCTCTGCGTGAAGATAAAGCACAGTGATGGAAGAGGTAGGACTACCAAGAGCAGAGGGCTTCAGAGAACTGCCTCTGGGGCAGAGGATGTTGATGTGGGGAGGAGGAAGCAGTGGAAAGTCAGGGTGGGGAGGAGGAAGAAGACAGAAAGATGGGAAGAGAGATGAATGGGAGAAGGAAGAGCAGAGGAGAAAGAGAAATAGGAAGAGACACAAGGAATGGAGGGGAGGGAAAGAGAGAGAACAGCATGTCTGTGCCTGTCAACACCAGAAACTCTCCCAGGCTCCTTTGAAGCAATGCAGCCGCTTGGTGGGAGCTGACAAGCTCGTTCCCTTTCAAAGAATCTGCTCGTCTACCAGCCCCGGCACACACAAAACATTCCCGTCACGGCCTTCGGAGCCTGGATTTCAGCTTTGATCATCTTAAAGCACATAAATCTTTCAAAAAATTTGGGGGGAGGGAGAGAAAAAGATTCTCTTTGGTAATGCTCAAAGCTGCTGCTTGAAAGGCTGGAGTGGCTACTGTGGCTTCTTGACATTTAAACAAGTTTGCTAATGTGGAGTGGACAGGAACCCAGGAGGAACTGGCCCATCTGTGATGTCTCCTGCCCCAATTCCCTGCTCGGAGGATGGTGGGAACGCATCCTTCATCTCACCTGTGCGCTGCCTCTGTCAGAGCCGTGTTCCAGCAGCAATTGCAGGAGGCTGGGGCTGCGCACGGGGACCACGGCTCGCGGCGCTTCCCAGGAACACCGGCAAGCACAGACAGGATACAGAGAGCAGCCAGCACTCCTGCAGCTGAGCAGAGCCAGTACAGAGCCCGTGGGCTGCTCAGCAGCCAGAGCTCTGCTGTGCTGAATAACGCCTTTGTCAAAGGACAATAAGTGCCTTTGCCCCGAAGCCGTGGTTATATCTTGGCTTAAGGTCATCATCCCTGTTCTTGACCATCATTTAGATTCATCACTCCTCTGCCAGCAGTCAACACATCACCTCTGCATCTACCAGATCCTCTTTCACTTCTCTGTGTACCAAGACAAGCATCCCTTTGGAAAGCTGAGCATCCTGAACGGATTCGAGCTGGAGAAGGACAAGATGAGCACCCACTCCCGTCTGTGGGTGCTGTGCAGCCCAGGGCAGGGCTGGTTCTCTGCAGGGTACTTACATGCATTGGGGGACCCATTGGGGAGAGGCAGGTAGGACCCTGCTCGCCAGGACCTGGAGCGAAAGTTCTTCTTGCACTTGCCACAGTCCTGGCCCGTGGTGTTGTGCTCACACTCGCACTGCAGGCTGCCCTCTTTGAAGGTGCACAGGTTGGCGTGGAGGTTGCATTTACATCTGGAGGAAGAAGACAGGGAAGAGCTGTCAGGTGTTCCTGCTGTTCCTCCTTGCTCCCAGCGTAGTGTTGACAATGTGCTGAGGCTGGGCTGGTCACCCCTTCCCTGGTCCTCCTGCAGGTTTTTCTCACTGAACTCAGCAGTTTTCCCCAGCTATCTGGTGCTGGGGTTCAATGTCCACCTCCTCACTCCGGGCGGATCTGCAGCCTCTTGTTCAAGATGAGACACTTCACTCCCGCTCTCTGACTGAGCAGCACAGGCTGTTTAATGGCCACTCAACATCTGCAGTTTCAGGAAGGAGTCACTCACATGACAGGCTGCTACAGGAATCTGGGTAATTACCTCACATGGAGGCTTTTACTTAGAGGCAGTCTCTGGCTTTGGATGGAGGAGCTGGGCCAACCCTGGTGGCACTCAGCCCTTGCCCCCTGTGCACTGTGCCAAAGCCAAGAGCGTTTTCTGCTGTGGTGTGAGGCTGCCCAGCACAAACCCTTTTCCCTACGTGCAGCACAGCCCCAGCCTGCTGCGACCAAAATAACACAGACAACAAGCCACCACCAGAATCCACCGGTTAGTCCCCGCCTCATCAGAGAAGGCAACAACTAAAAACGCTACTCAGCAATTTGCAAACATTAAGAAACTTTTAATGAGCTGTAGTGCAGTGTGCAGGGAATAATTATCTCTGTGCACAATAATTCCTGTTGCTCAGACTCCGAGGTGACTTGCGCAGAGCGCAGAGGCTGAGCCCATAACTCACACGTGGCTCTGGTGACTCCTGGGCCCGAGCTGAGGCCATCAGACAGAGACTTGGGGGACCAAAACATCTCATTTCATTCCAGACAGCCGATCCCTAGCACAGCCTGACAGTTTTCCCTGCTTTGTGCAATAATTTACACTCTCAGAAGCAGAAGCATTAGCAAACAGTAATGCTGTGCCTTCTGTGCAGGGGTGGAGAAGTCTGATGGGGCAGCGCTTCCTTTTACAGGGCCCAGGAGATGCAGCGCTGGGGGAATGAGATGCCTGCAGAGAAGACAGAGGAAATGTGGCCTGCTGCTCCTTGTGCTCTGTCTGCACTGGGATAAACAGCCTGGATTAGGCTGGGAGCTGGGAGTCTGGGTGCTGGTGCTGCTCATGCCCCCTGCTCCTGGTGCCTCTCCCCCTCTCCTTTGGAACCCCCAAAGAAGCTCCCCAGCCACCTGCCTGACCCTCTGAGGCCACCTTTGCTGTGCTCTCCTCACACATGGCTGGATAAGCTGACCTCACGTATGATTTCTTTTTTCCCACTCCCTCCCCTCCCTGTCCTTAATTCTAGCAAACCCCACTCAGAGGCTAAGCATAAGCTGTGTGAACAATCTCTCCCTGTCTTACAACCCTGCCCTGTGTCTGACCAAGCAGAGGAGGGAATTCTGCAGCCTCTAAAAGGGAGGAAAGAAGAGAACGTGGCCCAGGGAGCAGAGGCAGACATGCTCAGCACGCTCCACTCGAAACCGTGTGTGAGTGAGGGCTGGAGATGCCGTGTCACGGCTGAGAGCACTAACAGCCTCTGAGCTCTGCTGCTCTGGGAGTGAGCCACGAGTCCCAGCAGCCAGGGGAGGGAAGTGGCTTTGGCTGGTACGTGCAGCCAGGAGGGATGCTGAATTTCAGATGCTGCAGGTCCCCTCTGGCTCTGGTGAAGATCTCTCTGAACTGTCCCAGCCCTTTGGCAGAGGCGCTGCCCAGCCCCAGGGTGTTGCGGAGCCTGGCTGTGAATTATTCAGTGACCACACGGTGTGGCCTCCTTCTCTCGCTTCAAGACGAGCAGACGAGAGCAAAGCAGGCAAGATAGTGGGTTAAAGCAGGTTAAAGCAGGGCAAAGCCTCACCACTGCTGCTCTGGGCCCTGCCTGAACAGAGTAACAGCTTCAGGAGCTGCAGCTCTCCTCCCTCCTCCTCTGATGGCCTGGGGTAGCTCCAGGGCACAGCCTCAGCATCCAGCCTAGGGGGGTTTAGGAGCCCCAGGGGAGTAGGTACAAGGATGGAAGGGACTGTCACACCCCTTGACTTCCCTGAAGTTTGGGATTAGGTGGAGGGTGGTGCTTGGCTCCAGTGTTTGACCCTGTGAATCACAGACCAGTCACAGTGGGGACATCAGCCCTGGGTGGCCACCACCCGGTCCCCATGGTGGCCTTAGGCAGCCTCAGGCAGCCTCAACCAACCCCCTCCACATGTAGCACACATCCTTGCTCCTGGCAGGAGCCAAGCAGACGTTTTGGGGTGCTTTTGGCTCCCAGTGCAGGAGAGTGAGTCTCATTCACCATTAATTTGGCTCCAGCTACAAATCCTCCTCTGTGCAGTGGGACCTGGCCTTGCTGAGGCACAGGTGCATGCAGGAGGCAGCCAGAAGGGCCTGCTCCTACACACACACTGCTCACTTGCTGCTGGGGAGGGCTGGGGGCCCAGCACAAGCTCCTGAGACAGCCCCAGCTGTCTCCTGCCCAGTGGGATGGGGACAGGGAGGGAGCTCATGGATGTCCTCCAGCGAGGAGTGACAGAGCACTGCTCTTCCCAGGGGAGACCCTCACTTCCTAATTGGTGTAAGCAAGAAAAATTAAGTCAAGAGGAAGCAGAGGCAGGTGTTCACCTTGCCTGCCTGTGCCAGGGTCACTGATTTTTCTCACTGCTAGGCCACTTCGCCACTGTGCAAAAGTTCTGTTACCCGACGGATCAATTTTACCAGGGGATTGCTTTCTGAATTAGACCTTTGAGGATCATCAATCTAAGCAGGGACCTGTAACCCCAGCAGGCTGACCCCACAGCACAGCACTTTTCAGCCCAATCAATCAGGCTGCATTATTTAATGGTGAACAGCCGAGCACCCTCAGCCAGTCCCATTTTGGGCAGAGGTTTCTGCATCCTGGCCTTCCTGCAGCTTGGGCTCAGTGGATCAGCTTCAACTCCTTCCTCAGGCTTCTGTGCCTCCTCCTCCGGGCCCACAAGCCCAAGGACACACCAATGGTCTGTGCCTGCCTTTCCCCAGCCAAGATTCAGCTGGCAGAGGCTGGAGTAAATGGCATTAGCCCAGTCCCCTGGGTGGGAGACGCTCATCCTGCTCGCCTATGCTCATCCTCCTCGGCGCCCAGCCATGGCAGGAAGGAGAGGATGAAGGGAAAGGTTAGGAGCTACTTAGCAATGAGGCTTAAAAATCAGCAGCGGGGCAGACACCTGCGCTGTGTCCTGCAGAAGGCAGCCGTGGCCCTGCTCCAGCCCCAGGGCTGCTCCAGCAAAGTGCTGGGTGCAATATGGTCTCTGGCTCTGCAGGAGATCTGGGAAGCTGGGAGCTCTGACTTGTGGGTCAAGGCCATGCTGACAGTGCTGTTTCTCAGTGGGCATTCAGTGTAGGGTCAGCAGTGGTGGGGAGCAGCCCCAGGGCAGACCCGCAGCACCCTCAGGCACCAGGGACACCCATCCTGCCCTGGGCTGGCAGGAGGTCACACCACTGCACTTGGCATTAAACAAAAACTGGCTCACACTGCTCCCAGCAGGAGTGGTCGGAGCAATGTGTGCCCCAAGATGTTATAGTTTGCACAAAGGGATATTTATGAGTTTATTTTAGTGCAGGTCATTCAGCTTTCCTCAGAGTGCTGCAATGTGGTTCTGATGCTGCCAATGCCTCCACCAGGGAACATCACAGAGCTTGGAGCGCCAAGGAAAGTTTACAGGAAAATGTCCTTTTTTTCCCTTTTTTTTTTTTTTCTTTCAGCCATAAAGAGCACTTTTCTGCAATTCTCCATGTCAGCATCCTGGAGGTTACAGCAGCAAGCTGGTGTCTGGTGCCAAGCCCACGTGTGAGGGAAGGAGATGCCTACACACAGGAAGGGGGCGAGTGCAGCAAACCTGCAGCAAACCTCCCTCCGTGCTGGGACTGGGAAAACTGTCCCTTTCCCTGAGCTTTCATTAATAATGACTTTTGAAATAATTTTAAAAAGCCATCCCAAGCCCTTTGTTTCCTTTCCAAAAATTTTTCCTTGTTTTACAACCCTTTTTCTGTCCCCAACCCCACTTGCAGAGCAGGGAAGTGAGGCAGAGAAAGGCAAAGAGTATCTCCTCATCCCTCTCCCTTCCTGCAGGGATGGGGCAGCCTTGGGGTGCTGGCACCCCTCAGGCCCAGTGCAGTGACCCTGCTGTGCTGGGTGGGGACCTAGAGATCTGCTCCATCCCCTTGTGCCTCTTACCCAGCTTCCATGAGACAACACTGACTGCTCTGAGCTCCTTAAAAAAATCCTGAACATGAGACAGGAGCAGCCACCACCTCTCCTGCAAGCCTCTTTCCAGCCCAGCCTGCACACTCCTCTCCATGGGGATGTTCTGCACGGCCATAGGGATACTCTGGAGACAGCTGGTCCCATCCTGCTGGCTTCTGAGCCATCACACTTCTACCTTTCCCCCCATGGGCTCGGTTTCGCTGCCCTGCTCCCTCTGTGCTGGTGCTGGTGCGGGGAGAGGCAGCTCGGGAGAGCCGCTAATGACTGCGGCCGGAGGAAGGCTTATCAGAGCTTTCTCCTGAATTGTTTGCTCTCACTGTAATTGATGAGACTTTAATGAGTCTCACGGGATGATGTGTTTGAAGGGAGCTCTTTCCTCTCTGTCCCCAAGGAAAACGATGTTTCAACTGATCTGGGCTCTCGGGGAAACATGAATAACTCTTCTCCATCTCCCTATTGTCATCCCCAGCCGCTGCTCGCAGCACGCTCCGGCAGCTGCCTGGCCATCGCTTACCCGCTTCTACCTGCTCTTCTGCAACTGTTTTGGCAGCTCAGCAAAAGCAGGGAGCAAATCTTTTGGGCAAAGCATAACGGGTGCTGAGCTTGGATTGTTTCTGGCCCATCTGTGCGTGTGGAAGCAGGTAAAAATAGCTTCTAATGGCTGGGCCATGGAAGAAGCGCAGTCCCTTTGTGGAGAGCATTTATATCAGGATTTGCTTTGCTGGGAGATGGCTCTGGCAGGGGTTTGCTGCTGCCAGTCC